TCTATAACACAAATTATTTTAAAATATATTTCTTACAATTTTAAAACAAAAACTATAAATATTTAAGTGATATTTATGTATGTTTATTTCTAACAAGAGTAACTAAATATTAAATAATTAAAAAATATTTATAATATATATATATGTATTTTCACATAATAAATTAAATTAAAACTTTACAGAAAATTAAATAGTTTTCATAATATTAACAAATAAAATATAAATCAATTCAACACAATAAAAATAAAAAACAAATATTTGCACTTTTAGTTATAAACATTTTGTATAAGAAATAAAATATTATTAATTAAATATATTTTTATAGCGAACAAACAGATCAACCAAAAATTTACATTGTAAATTTATTAAATAATTTTAATAAATATATTTTTTTATATTGAATAGTATAAGTTTACTTTATACACTTTTTTGTCATTAGTCCCTGTTTAAAGAACGATGACTGAGAACCCTCTATAAGGATTTACAAAAAAAAAACACAAGAACTCTGCTAAAACACACAACAGTACACACTAAATTACTTAATATTTTTCATTACCTTTAGAGCGTACTTAAGCTGACACTAGATCGAATGCCTTACACTTCTGAAGCACACTAAAACTATTCAGAATACTAAATTTTATCAAGATGAAGGACAGTAAGTTAAACAGTTCAAAACTCATATACTTATTATATATATTATAAAGTGCTAAATTTAAATATTGAACTTGTCTCCAGGTTTAAATGAAAACTAAATTTAATAAAGAAAGCATTAAGCTATGGTTTGCTGTTTTGCTACTTATATTCTTCAATGAAAAACCACTAAATGATAAGTCCTAAGAAATAATTATAAAGTTCAATAACAATCTACAAAAATTATTAAAACATTTTTTATATTCTTGACTAAGTTGAAAAATATGTATGTTGCTTGAGTAAAAATTAAATATTTGTAAGTAGCGCTACAAAAGTAATCTTCAAAGTCAAAAAATGGATTTAGTTTATACATATAGATAGTACTCTTTTATATTATTTATTAATATGTAACATTATAGACATATATAGTACTTCTATATACTTATATTCCTTATTTGTTTATGTATATATAGGAACTTTTTTATTACAATATATACATATACGGAGTACTTTTCATCAAAAACGAATATATATATATATATATATATTAATATATATAATATATTAATATATTATATTATATATAATATATTAATATTATATATAATATATTAATATATTATATTATATATAATATATTAATATATTATATTATATATAATATATTAATATATCATATTATATATATTAATATATATATATATAGTATATATATATTTATAAGCATCACATATAAATACATATAATACAAATATATTTTATACATATGTATAATATAAATTAATATAAAAATATAATATTATTATATATTATATTATATTGTATAAATATTATATTATATATATATTATATATAATATATTATATATAATATATTATATATAATATATTATATATATATTATATTATATGTATTTTGTATTATATACATATAATACTACATATATATTATTTTATATATTTATTATATTATTTATATACGATATTATATGTATATTATATATATACTATAAAATGCAACAAGAAGGCATTACTTACTTTATGTGTAGCTTCTGTATGCGGTTATTGACACATTTTTTTAACAATATAGATTTAGTTATACTAACTGAAAGTTTAGCAATGATAAAAAGTTCTTCTACGATGGCTTTTAAAATGGATGTAGAAGCGCAAGGAGCAGGAACATGAGAAACAGAAATTGAGGAAATGTTTGATTTAAGAGTAGAGATGGAGACAAAAACGAAGATAGGGAGTAAAAATGAATTTAGTAGTAATAACAAAATTGTAAATATATTTTTTTATAAGTTACTGCTTTAATACAAAATCCGTAGTTGTTTCAGTTTTTAATTCATATCCGTTCAATTTATATATAAATTTACTAACTTATAATTAGTATAAATTTTTTTTTATATTTTAAAACGACACATACCTCTTTCATTAAAAAAATTCAATATAAAGGTTTTTCATTTTTAATATTCTCATATGTTTAATGTTTTTGTAAAAAAAAAAAAATTTTCTGAGTTTTATAAATGGCAGGTTCATTCACACTCTGGTCTTTGCAATTTGTTCTAATTTTGTTAGGTACAATGGAAATTTTACGCAGCATATTTTTTTTTATGTTGGGGACTTTTTTATTACCATCACTGCATTTCATCATGCAATCGATAAACTGTGGGGTGTACAATCCCATTTTTATTTCTGAGGTAAACAATGGTTTGAGGTATTTATCCAAAAATTTTAGTTTTTTATCTTTTGATTACTTTTGTTTCATTGCAGTTCTTAACTATAAACTTCTGTATTTTTCTAATATTTAATCAAAATAATAAGTCAAAATTCAATTAGAAAAAGTACAAAGAATATTACAAAGTGCAAAAAAATTAATTGTTTTTTAAATAATTTTAATTAATTTTAAAATGAAAGTTAAGATAAATAATGCGTGTGCTTTGTCTTATTCATTTTCATAAACTGAGTTGGCAGAAGTTCTATATTAATCAATCTAATCAATTAGTTTCTCTCCTAAATTTAGCTCAGTATTTTAGTTGAAACTAAAATTTATTTATTCATTTTTTGGATATTGTTCCAGAAGCTTTTACCATTTTCTTCTTATGGAACGTAATTAATCGTAAAAATATTTAAACATAAATTGATTGATTTGTTGGTTTATTTACTGGTTGTTTGCATTTTAATTACTGATAAGTAAATTTTTTGATTGATTGTTTTTGTATTAAATATATCATTTTCTATAAGATTTTAGTTAAATTTAAAAAAAAAAATTTGTATTCAGAAGATTATTTTAATATTTTCTCCATAGAAGCTTAGTACTAAAATCTTTGTTTTCTTTTTACCCCAATTTCTTTGCCATAATTTCTTTTTAATTTTTTGTTTTTTCTTTTTTTCATTATCTGTTATTTTAATGCTTATTATTACACACTTACAACTTACAATTATTATTCAATTATATAATATTATTTTATTATATAGTATTTAATGGGATTATTCTCTCTCTTCAATATGATTTTTAATCTTATATTAATTTGCTCTTACGACTATTGCGACATATTTGTCTTTTTAGTGACTTTTATAAATAAATTTCACTGCACTCCCTCCTGCTGTTTTATGCTCCTAAAACATACAAGCCATATATACATATATCTATATATTTAATAACATATACTATATATATAAAATCATATATATTTAACAATATATACCATATATATATAATTATATATATTTAACAATATATACCATATATATATAATAATTATAATTATAAAAATATATACATATTAATAATTGTGATTATTATATATACATGTATTTATAATTATAGTTATTATATATACACATATATATATATATATTTATGCTTATAATTTTCAGATATATATATTTTTAATTATAACTATTAAAATATATATATAAATATATATATTCAATCATAATTATTATATATATACTGATAATTATATGTATTTTTATGTATATATATATATTTATATATATATGATAACATATATTTATGTATATATTATATATATATTTATGTATATATTATTTATATATTTATATATATACGATAACGTATATTTATGTATATATTATATATATATTATATACATATTATATATATATTATATACATATTATATATATATTATATACATATTATATATATATTATATACATATTATATATATTATATATACATATTATATATATATATATACATATAATATATTATATTATATATATTACATATTATTATATATATATATATACATAATAATAATATATTATATATTAATATTACATATAATATTATATATTATATACATATATATATATATTATATACATATTATATATATTATTATATACATATTATATATATATATATACATATTATATATATATTATTATATTATATATATATTATATACATATTATATATATTATATACATATTATATATTTTATATACATATTATATATTATATTATATGTAAATTATATATATATGTATATAAGGCATGTGTATTTATTTATATATATAGTTTCATAGTGCCTATTTTTGTTTGTTTGCTATGCTTTATCTGGTAGTATTCCTTTTATTAATTAATTAATATTATAAATATATTTAACTATTTACATGCAATTTTATATTATTTTATTTTCACAAGGATCTGTTTCAACTCGTTTTGCTTCATATGAATGCATGTGTGTGCATTTGTCTGTATGTGTGTTTTGATTTATGGGCGTGGTTGTGTGTATAAATATATTTAATATGTTATTAATATATTTACTTGCTTCGGTTTCAATTTGTTTTGATTAATAAGCGTTAATATTTCAAATGTTTTAGTTAGTAAAATTTGTTTTATTATTATTCACTTGATGTGTATTTATAGGGTTTATTTTGTTTAGAATTTTCAACTTAAATTTTACGTATTTTTACTCATTTTCTATCTGTTTTCTTTTTTTCTTGTTTTAAATGTTTGTAGAATATATTTACTTATATCAATAATTTTTATTATTATTATTATTTTGTTTCTATGTGCTTGTCTCCCTTATAAGCTATCCGCTTTCACCTTTATCTTCATAATATTGGGTTTTAAGTCGAATAAAAATGGACATAAATAAATCCAAAACAATATTAGCCTGAATTTGACAGTATATTTTCTTGAAGGCTTCATTTTCTACTCTTCTATCGAGCGTATGAACACATATCTAAGTGTATGCATGAGTGGTGGTGTTATATGATTGTGTGTGCGTTAATTAAAGACTGCCTACAAATGGCGGAGTACAAAATTTCGGGAAATCTCTGAACTAAATTAACTATAAACACTGTTTTTATTACAAGATTTCCATACGGTGATCGTTGTTGTTGTTTTTGTTGTTGTTGTTATTATTATTTTTTTGCCGATATTGTTCCTGTATTTTGAGTTGCAGATATTTTTGTCCCGATGGTTTTACTGTTCGTTTACTGTTGCCTCTACTGCTCCTGCTGCTTTAGTAACATTGTTTTGCCGCTTTCCAAAGAAAAAGTAGCTAAAAAGAAAATAAAAATATTGAAATAAATAATTTTTTTTGTGCAATATAAAAAAAAATAGTTTTTAATTACTTAATATGAATGAGATATTTATATATTATTCTAAACTCGGGTATTTGGCCGCTCTGAAATGCGGCAAAAAACATGTCGCTTATTAAAGTCTCTAATTTATATGCAAAATAACAACACCACTATCTTACCCTAATAGACTAGTTATGAAGTCTCTAATCATTTAAGAGATTGCAAGAAGAAATGTTACGAATATGTTATAACGAATGTTCCAACCATTGATAGATAATTAATTTGTAAAGAAACATTCAAACAAAATTGAAAAATTTAAAAAATGTTTGGAAAATATATCAAAAGCCGTGGAAAAAATATTTTAAAAATTTACAAAAATTGTAAAGAAAACATTAAGAAAGCGTAATTAAATTGGATGAAGTGACTGCAACTACAGTGAGCTTAACCGCGACATTGACATAGTTAAATGAAAAATTTCGTGAAAAAGAAAGAAAAAGCTACGGTTAGAAAGGTGTTTGACTTGATATCCGCTGTTATCGTAGCAGATGATGTTCACATTTTCGGTTGAAGAACCAGGCGACCAACCAGGCACTCAGCACTCAGTACCAACTGGCGATAATAAGCCATTAATCGGGCTAGCAGAGACTAGTGAACGCGTCTAAGGAGTATTCACTTCTGTAAAGACTAATAATGTAAGTAAGTAAGTAAGATTGCAACAGTGATGCCAACATCTCTGTTAAATGTCCTTGTTTAATCCTATTTGAAGCGTATAAAAATAGAATAAAATGAATCTGAAGTATCAGTTTAAAGACAACTATAGCCAAATCTGAACAAATCGATAAAATTTTCTCACTTAGAGAATACATTGAAAAATAAAGAATTTTTTCTAAAAAAAAAACATGTTTCTAAATCATTTTATATGCGAGCTTGATATGCGGTTTGAAAAAACAAACCGATCAAGCCCACTTTTATTACATAGGCTTTGTTCTATAAATTTTTCTTGAATTCTAAATTTGAAGTACATATATCGAAAAATGTAAAAATTTTTCTAACAAATACATGTGTCTGCATTATCAGTTTATATGCAAGCTGTACCTAAATCTCAACCGATATGAAATTTTGTACGTTTTCTTTTATGAATATAAGTACATACTGTACAAAATTTGAATATCTTTATCAAAAATAGAGTAAAATCACATCCAATTGTTTAGTTTATATTGGCAGCTATAATACATTGTGACCGAAAGGTTTCCGGAAATTTTAAATAAAACGCAAAATTCTTAATCTTCATCAATATTTATTTTATCTCCTTCAAAATATGCTCCATTAGAAGCGATACACAAATGCCAACGTTTCTTCCAATCATCAAAACATTTTTTATAGGCGCTTTCCGGTATGGCTTTGAGTTCCCTCTGCGAATTCTGTTTTACGTCTTCTATGGATTCAAAACGCGTTCCTCTGAGTGGTAATTTGAGGTTGGGAAACAGGAAAAAGTCACACGGTGCAAGATCAGGTGAATACGGTGGCTGTTCGATGGTATTTATTGAATGTTTGGCCTTAAAATCGTTGATAATGTTGAACAAATTGAGGTGAATCGGAACAAGCCGGGCGTTGACACGTCGCATACACAAATTGTCCACCAAAATCAAACGAGCCATCTCACGACCGATGCCTAGCTCTCGTGCTATCTCTCTAACACTCACATGAGGATTTTTGAACACGATTTCCTTTGCCTTTTCAATGTTTTCGTCGGTGGTAGAGGTCGAAGGTCGTCCAGAACGCGGCATGTCTTCGACGGTCGTACGACAGTCCTGAAAGGCTTTGTACCACTCATAAACTTGAGTTTTCGATAAAACTGATTCCCCATAAGCCTTTTGTAGCATTCGCAACGATTCTGCACACGAAATTTCGTTCGAAAAACAAAATTTGATGCAAACTCTTTGTTCAATATTTTTTTCCATTGTTTTTTTCGCAACGCACTACTGAGGTGAACTGGTTTCAACAGCTGCCGTAAACGAACTGTCCGACAGATCGCGCTCATTTTTGGCATAGTAATTGAAGGACAGTGCTGCAAACTACATAAACTTAAAATATCGAAAAATATACAGCGCGCGAATTTTAAATGAGAATTTCCGAAAGCTTTTCGGTCACAATGTATATACTAACCCGACTTTGGCCAATCAGGTAAATAAAAGTTTCTATTGAATAGCTTAAAAAACTGTAGGACTAGTTTGAACTATAACACAGAGGCACACAAACGAAGGGGACCAAATAAACGCAAATCGTCGAGCTGATCAAAAATATATAATTTATAAAAGATATAATAATATATAATTTATATAATATATATAATTCTAAATACATTTTATGTGGTACGACGTTTTCTTCAATTCGTTACAATAATCGTGACAAACGTAATATGTATATCCTTTCTACATTTTTTAGTGTAAAAGGTATGATGAAATATAAAGCAGATTTACTTGCTAACCAATTTGAACACTTTTAAGTTTATAGAGCATCTTTAAGTATCTCAAACATCTTTAAGCTCTTCAAACATCTTCGAGTAAACTCGAATATTATCGAGTTTAATGTTTGAGCCATAATCGATTAGTTCAGTTAATCAAATTTTAGACGAAGTTTTGGATAAACCAATAATCTGGTCTGCACGTGGTTCCTCTTTACACTCTAACGAAAAAATAGAAAGTCTGCTATTGCAAAATCATGTTAAAAGCCATTGTAACTATTGACGTTTCAAATATGAGCCTAAAATGTCAAAGTGCGATGTAAAACTCATGTATGTTAAAGAGTCTATAAGAGAAAAATTTACGCTTTGGTAAAATGGTAAAATTAAAACCATGTTGATGAATTTCTTAGGTTTAAATGAAATTGTTCACACTAAATTTGTCCTAGAAGTTCTAATGGTGAACGTAGAATATTATTTGAAAGTTCTAAACTGTTTGCGACCAAAATTCGACAGGTGTGATCGAAATACCAAGGCCCAAGCACGATTATACATCATATTACAAAAGTATTATGGAATGTGTGTTCTTGACCAAAAAAAATATGCATAACTCTTATCGTTCATTCCCAAACTGAAATTTACTATAAAGAAACTTGTTTCGATATTATTCCTGTTGTATAAAAATCTTCGACCGGCATACTGAAAGCAATTTCGTCCGATGAGTATCAAAATTGCTTAGAAAAAGCCGTCGACTGTTTCCAGCACTGTGTGGACTTAAAAGAAGACTATTTAGGATGAACAAGAATAAAACTTAAATTGATTAACACCCTGTATTTTCCTGGAGACTAATCTCATCGGGTCTAGGATAGACTGTGTTTATTAAATATTTTTTAAAAAAAAATGTAATAAAATAAAACTAAAGCCCAATGAGATCTAATGTATTGATAGTTGTTTCAAGTCTTTTCTATCGCGACAGTATGTCAGTGACTACACATTTTCCACATTTTATTTATATTTTCTTTGATTTGAAAATATTTTTATAAAGATGTATATATTTTGCATGATCTCTTTAAAAAAAAATTTTTTTAAATTAATTTTTTAATTTAAAATATTCATTTTTATAGAGGCTTCTTAAGCAAATGAATTAAATATATATATTAATGTTTTTGTAGTATATAAGCCCAAACTAAATATAACCGTTGCCAGTATTTTAGGCATTTGGAATAGCAAAATGATTCGCTCGAATATCACAGTTTATTTTTAAATTCGAATCAGTTTATCATTTATTAAATTAATTGCTTAAACATTATATTAGTCTCCGCTGTATTCTAAAAAATAAAAATGAAAGATCCCTTCTTACTTGTGTAGTAGTGTAAAATAGACAAAAAAAAATTTGGATAGAAATTAAAAAATAATCAGAAATTAATACGAAAGACTAAATCGAATAAATACCAAGTCATTTATTCTGAATAAAAAAAGTTTAAACAATAGTGTTCTCACATATTACTATATAGGTATGAAATCAATAAAACGTATTTAGCCAATATTGCGACACGATAGTAGACTACTCTTTTAAGCACCATTTTTCACAGCACTTTTTAATATAGTTCGGTTTTTAAGATTTTCTTATTTAACGTAGTCGAGGTCGCTATGTCAGAATTTTTTTCTGTTATGTTTTCATTTCCTTGTATTGTTAAAACCTTCGGATAAACAAACAATGTGAAGCGATACACAAACAATATGGCTATGGTCAGCCAAAAATTTAACTAATTAATAAATAATAAAATTTTGTTGTTGTAATTTACTACTGTTCGAAAAAACTATCTATTAAAAACTATATTAAGAATATATATTTATATTAAGAATTTAGTTTCTTTCATCAACGCGGACATTAAAAATCAATTTAATATGGTCTTGTTAGTTAAGAGTTTTATTTCTGCTCAAAAAGTTCTCGGATTTTGCAAATAAAACACACAAATTTACATTTTATTCCAAATTTATTTTATCTTCTTCAAAATATGCTCCTTCTGAAGCGATACACATATGCCAACGCTTAACCCAATCTTCCATACACTTTTCGTAGGCCCGTGAAGGTATGGCTTTTAGTTCCTTTAGCGAATTCTCTTTTACCGATTCAATCGACTCAAAACGCTTACCACGAAGGGGCAATTTGAGTTTCGGGAACAGGAAAAAGTCCAACGAATCCAGTTCTGGCGAATATGGTGTCTGAGCGATGACAGTGGTGCCGTGTTTGGTCAAAAATCGCGTACAACAAGATTTTTCCATAGTAAAAATCACTAAATGCACTTCAGGTAGTCTCACATTAACAGCTGCTGTAAACAAACTAATTGACAGATGGCGCTCAAATTTGTACCATATGTCAAGAAAGGGTGTACTAACATAACATAAAAATTTTTTTGAAAAAGGTCTATTACTTAGGGAGTAGTTAATAAACAACAAAATCCGGATAGTTTTTGAGCAGAAGGTATATGGTATATTAATTTTTTTAAAAATATG